GTTGTGTTGGAAAGTGAAAAAAAGTGACCACAATCCAACGTCAGTGGTAACGTCCACACAACGTCAAGGTGTAACATGATTAGATGTTGATATTTGGTTTATTTTAGGTTGGACGTTAGACATTGATGTTGGCCTTACATTGGATTTTGACGTCAACCCGATTTTCATTTCCAAACAAAATCCAAAGTCCCCATGATGTTGGGGTACAATGGGTACAATGTCAGTATGACGTCCTGTGCCTGCAGGGCTCATTCACACATACACTACAGCCAATTTAGCTTATTCGATTAACCTATCCGGCATGTTTTTGGACTGTGGAGGAAACCCACACAGAAATGCCAACTGGCCAAGCCGGAACTCAAACCAGCAACCTTCTTGCTGTAAGACGACAGTGCTAACCACTTAGCCACCATGCCGCCCCTGCTAATGTAAAGAAAATGTATTTACTAATATAAACTAATAATGAATAATAATACTTAATCATAATTCAACATTTACTGATGCATTCCTAAAATACAAATTCATGCTTATTAACAAGTTAATGCACTGTGAAATTTCCATTAACTAACACTAATTAGTGGGAATAAATACTGCAATAAGTGTATTGTTCATTGTTTATTCATATTAGTAAATTCATTAACTAAAATTAACTATAACAACCTTATTGTAAAGTGTTTTTATTAATTATTATTTTAAATTATTATTAATATTATTATTCATTCATTCATTTTCCTCTCAGCTTAATCTCTCCATCAATCTGGGGTCACCACAGCGGATTGAACCGCCAACTTATCCAGCATATGTTTTTACGCAGCGGATGCCCTTCTAGCTGCAACCCATCACTGGGAAACATCCATACACACTTATTCACATTCATACACTGCGGACAATTTAGCTTTCCCAATTCACCTGTACCGCATGTCTTTGGACTTGTGGGGGAAACCGAAGCACCAGGAGGAAACCAACGCGAGAACATGCAAACTCCACACAGAAATGCCAACTGACCCAGCCAAGGCTCGAACCAACTACATTCTTGCTGTGAGGTGACAGCACTACCTACTGTGCCACCGCGTTGCCCATTATTATTATTATTATTATTATTAGTAGTAGTAGTAGTAGTAGTAGTAGTAGTCATTATAGTTATGGAAACTATTTCATGATAATATATTATTTTTTATTACATGTTTTGATCATTTCCATGATTATGGTAAATAGAATGAATGGACGTTCATAATTTAACTTAAATTCCAACGGAAACTAATAACCAAACAAAAGATGAATTTATATAATGTAGTTTTTAGAAGTGTGTTACGTTTTTAAATTTTGAAAATTGTATTAAAATTTGTTTTTAATTCATTCATTAATTTTTCTTTGGCTTAGTGCCTTATTTATCTGGAGTAGACACAGCAGAATAAACGTTTATTATTAATATTTTTTTCATTAATTTAATTGAACTTATGACAAATGACAACTGTAACAAAAACATATTATTATTGATAAATTTTATTGTTTTTGAATTTAATTGATTTTAATTGAATTTTAAATACAGGATGGGATATAGAATATAGGATTATCGAGTATAGAATACAGGAATATAGAAGCAACAATTATAACACAGGTGTGAACTCAAAGAGAACAAAATTCCAAAAACTTATAAACCTGTAGTTTTGAGAAATGCATAAAATATCTCATCAATAGTATATAAAAACTTGTGTTTTTATGTGTTTGTGATTCTACAATTATTTAAACACTAACATTAATTATTGTCAATTTTGATAAAATTATTTTAAATTTTTTATAAGAAGTGCTCAAATTATTATTGTAAAAACTGCCATAATGTAATTCATAATTTATTATTGCAAATTATTTTTTTGAATTCTGCTAAAAACTTTCTTAAACTAAACTATGAGACTAAAGCAAACTATATCGGTTATCAGTTCGCCATAACAAAACAGCATAACAAAATATAAGTATATAAACGGAAAAAAATAATCTGTCGTAAGAGCAGCAGCAGTTATCCTGCAGTGAGAAACAGCTGCATTGATGTTGCACAGTGAGAGGATCAGAGAGATGAGAAGGCCAGAAGATGCAGCACTCACAGCTCTCGATCTCCAGTGTGCAGTTCTGCTCGTCCAGCGGGTATCGCCTCAGGTCCATCATACAGGCAGCGGTGGTGGTGATCCTGAATGCAGAGCACAGACAACAAGAGACTGTGGGGATTTACTGATGCTTCTCAAGGACAACAGAGACACCGCAGCGCTACAGCACAGCTCCTGCTCAAATCTACACATTCACACCACAGAAAAACCACAGAAGTGCTTTTACAATGCTTTTTTATGACCTAAAAATGGGTTGAAGATCTGTTCATATTCTAGGGGTCAGCGAAAATCGTTCAAGTTTCCTATTACTGTCATTCAAAACATCACAGGAGATGTAATGCAGAAAGAAATAACGTTGCATCAATACTTAGTACAAATAAATGGTAAAACTTTAGTCTTAGTCACAATTCATGCTATTAAAATATGATCTTTTTCTACATCCCTAATCTTACTCAAAATCTACACCCAACATCTAACTTACTTTTAATAAGCAACAAATTAACAGTTTGAGCTAATAGTCTTTGTTAAGATTAACACCCAGTGGTTGAACTAGGTATTGCACTCGTAATTTAAAACACTTTTCACCCAGACCCTCCCCCGATGACTACATGCAAGTGCAGGTTGCCAGATTGACGACACCAACAGGAGCGAGCATGCCTGACTATCGAGCCTACATCATGTCCAAACTACACATGATAAAAGTAATATTTTCAATATTTGTCATAAGGAGAATAACTAACTTTAGCATTGTTCTTCAGATAAACAAATGTTCACTAAGCCTGTTCCTGTATACCCGCAAGCATATTATGGTATTTCTATGATTTAGAAGAATCAACAACTTACATACAGCACCTTTAATGGTTTATTAATAGCATAAAATGTGACTTAAAATAAAAGGGTCACTGACAAATCTATAATATACATATGAAAACACCCTTGAGCTGTTGAAAAAACTTAAAAAAACAAACTAACCACACTAAAAATTACAAAAGTCAAGACAACAAATATTTTTGTTGCTTCAACCTATTTTTTAATCATCTTATTTTATCTCTTATTTTAGTTTTTCCACATTTTTTAAGTTATACAAAGTTAACAAACTTATTATTTTAGTCAGTTTGATTCATGTAAGTTAATATGATTCATCTAAAAGCATAAATATGTAAAGCAGTAAGAATCTTTACATGAAAATCCATCCATCCATGACACAATCCATCTATAAGGAAGTTCTTATCGCAATACCATACAAGAATCACTAAATGACCAGCAATATTTATAAAACAAAAAAATGCATTTTGTTGTGTATGTATAGATGCAAGATTATTTTGTAATACTGTAAAATTTACAAGTACACTGTAAATTAACAATTACAACAGTGCTGCAAATGTTGTTCATTTACAGCAACTTTGGTTGCCAGGAATACTGTCAATTTACAGCAATTTTTACAGTGTAGGTTTAGAGCGGGGGTGTCCAAACTGTGTTCTGGAGGGCTGTTGTCCTAATCAAACACACCTGAAGCAGCTAATCAAGCTCTTACTAGAATATACTAGAAACTTCCTGGCAGGTGTGTTGAAGCAAGTTGTTGCTAAACTCCAAGCCCTTCAGGATCAAGTTTTGATACCCCTGGGGTCCGTTCTTCGTACCTCGCTTAAATGATCTAAGATGATTTGGCAGATCCTGGATCTTTTAATCTTGATAACTGATCTCTCGCTTATTTGGTTCTTCAAACAAGTTCGCGAATCAGATTAGAATGTCTGGATGAACTGATCTGAGATCGCTGCGTTTGTTGTTAAGGACAGATCTATCCATCCTCGAAATCATGATCAGCAATGGCTTTTGGCACACGCGATTGGCTGACGGCACAGCAGCGTAATGACATCATCTGATTAATATTCAATTATCCATGTGAGCAAAATTACATCAAATTAGCAGTAAACGGTTTGTTAAATATGACACGCAATAACCTTCCACATTTGTTGTGAGCTGCAGGCTTTACACTTTCATTTGTCAAGACAAGAGTATTCATCATGTATTTCAATGCAAATCAATGTATTTAGTTCTACATTTAGAAAAGATTTTCTTTATTATAGTACAGTTTTTTAATCGGTGTAAAGAATAACTGGTTGTTTCCAAAAGCATTTTGATATTGGTAAAGGCGTCTGCAACTTTTGTGAAGCATCAAATCACTGGCATATTAACTGTCAAAACATGTTTGTGACTGCATAAATGTATTATTGCTTTTAAAAAAAGTCACATATTGTGCATTTCTATTATACACAATTTGTACTAAAGCGATCTAAAAAGTTCATATCAATAAGTTTTCTCTTTGCACCACCAGGTGGCAGTCTTTGTACTTTCATTTTGAGGGTGCAGATTGCATAAGTTTTATTAATATGTATAACTTTATTTATTTTATTAATGACTATAACTTTAAATATATAGTTAAAAACTACTATTTTCCCAAGTGTATATAATTTTTACTGTAAGAAAATATCAGAATTCAGAACATACTTTCTGTATTATCTTTGCTTGAACTGAGCCGATCTAATCCTGTTTATATGATTTGAACCTGCTCCCGATCAGGTTTGACCTAGCAGATCTGTTGCCATGACAACAACTCTCGAATCAGCTTTGAAGAACGAAACGATCCTGGATCGTGTCAAATCGTCAATATCCAAATCCAGCTAACTGAGTAATCCACGTACGAAGAACGGACCCCTGGTTTAGAATTGGACTTAGTAAATACTGTATATACAAAAATCTTCTCCTCCTCGTGGACACTTCATAAGAAAAGTGCAGTAAATGCACCAGGAGCAGTGTTTTTTTTTTTTTTTTTTTTTTTTTTTTTTTTATTTATTTATTTTATTTATTTATTTTTTTTTATTAACAAGTACATAACTATACAATACTATACAGAACAAAATACATGCCAGAGTGTATATTGATATATATAAAATAAAAAAATAAATAAAAAACATTCAGTAAATAAAAATCTTATATTCCTTAAAAATATTACAAGTCTTCTTTGCTTTGTTATTAACAATGTTTTCCAAACTTGTGCAGTAGTCCTTAGTCTCTTGAAGAAAGTGAACAAAATTTGGCTTTGATCCAGTCCATTTTTTTTTATGTATATGAAACTTTCCCAAAATAATAAAAAGTTGTACCAGAAAGGTAATTTTTTTACATGTATTAAAATAATAAATGCAAATATCAAATTTTTTTAACTTAAACACAATATTTGTTTTCCTTCTTAGAAAATTTTCCACATCCACCCAGAAAATCCTTGTATATATACAATCACAAAACATGTGGACAATAGATTCCTTTTCCATACAACAAAAATCACAGAAATAATCGATATCCAAATTAAATCTCTCCAAAACCTCTTTAACTGGATATATACTATGTAAAATTTTAAATGTAACTTCTTTTACTTTGTTATTTATACAATATATTTCACAAGAACGCCAAGCTTTTTTCCAATTTATATTTATGAATACATTGGTCCATTTTAAATTATTATATACAACTGTATCACCTGTTATAAGATTTCTAATATATTTATTAGTATAACTTTGTTTAATAATATCAATATCTCCTAAAAAAAGGTTTTCTTTAACATATTTTCCTTCAAAAGATCTATTTCCATACGCTCTTATAAAATGAAGAAGCTGTTGAGATATGGCATCAAATACAATAGCATACTCTTTTGGAGTAACTGGAAAACCAAATTTATCTAAAAATTCACTGTAAGATAACAAATTACCGTTTAAATTAAGAAGTTGTCTAACTAATACAATATCATTTTCATACCATTTTTGGAAGAAGAGAGATTTATTTTTATATTGGATACATCTATTATTCCATATAATATATTTGTTTGGAGAAAAATTGTGTTTAAATACCAGCATCCACGCTAATAAAGCTTGTTTGTGAAATTTAGCTAATTTCACTGGAAGTTTGTCAATTTTAAAATCACAACTCAACAGAAATTCTATACCCCCAATCATGTCAAATATATGTTTTGGAAAAGTATACCACATACTGTCCTTTTCTTTCATGAATTTAATTAACCAATTAATTTTGAATGTATTGTTTAAAGTTTCAAAACTTAATACAGATAACCCACCATTGCATTTTTGTTTACACATAATTTCCTTTCTTAAATAGTGATGTCTATTTCTCCATAAAAAATTAAATAGTACTTTGTCTAATTCTTTATATACATTTGATGGCATCTCTAGAGCTAAAGACACATAGACAGATCTTGATATACCTTCTGCTTTGGACAGTAAAGCCCTACCATTCAGGGATAAATCTCTTTGAAGCCATATATTAAATCTAGTCTTAGTTTTATTTATTATGGGTTGAAAATTAAGCTTATTGCGTTCATTTTCTTCTTTATGAATGACAACCCCTAAATATTTAACTGTATCTTTAATAGGGATACTATGTAATTCTGTCAAATTGCATGATTTAATTGGAAATAACACAGATTTATTAATATTCATTTTAAGACCTGAAACTAAGGAAAATTCTTTTACACAGTTAACTGCTTTTAATATTTCTAAACTATTTTAAAGAAAAATAGTAGTATCATCTGCTAGTTGGGATAATTTAAATTCCTTTCCAAATACATGTATACCTTCAAAATCTGCTTTTTTAATATATAGGGCCATAATTTGTGTGACTAATAAAAACAAAAATGGAGATAAAGGGCTACCCTGTTGTATACCTCGATTAATCTCAAATCTACCACTTGTACCTGCAGATAATTTAACTGAGCTATTGCATCCATTGTAAATAGTTCTAACAGCTTTTTCAAAGTATTCACCAAAACCAAAATGTTTAATGCATCTAAACAGAAACTCATGACTTACAGTATCAAATGCTTTATAAAAGTCTATAAATAAAATAAAAGAGTCATTTGGTATATAATAATTATAATCAATCATATCTAAAATTAACCTAATATTATTACTTATATGTCTTCCGGTCAAAAAACCAGATTGCTCTTCTTCAATAATCTCCTCCAGACCCTTTTTTAATCTTCTTGCAAAAACAAGAGCAAAAAGTTTTGCATCGTTATTCAGAAGAGTAATCGGTCTCCAGTTATCAATATAAAGTTTATCCTTATTGGGTTTAGGGATTATTGTTATAAGACCTTGTTTAAGAGTTGCTGGTAGTTCCCCACAAGTAATGGATTCTTTAAACATTGCAACTAAAAAAGGAGATAACTGTGTTATAAACATTTTGTAAAATTCACTAGTCAATCCATCGTTTCCTGGAGATTTATTATCCTTCAATCCCGAAATACATTTATTTATCTCTTGTAAATTAATTTCTTGGTCACAAAGTAATTTAAAGTCTTCTTGTATAATTTTGGTTGTATCAGATATTTTACTTAATAACAGTTCAGCTTCTTTTTCATTGTAAGGTTCTGAAGTATATAGATTCTTATAAAATTGTGTGACATACTCAGCAATTTCTTTATTATTTTCACATATACTGTTATTAATCATGAGTTTACTTACAGAAGACATTTCGTTATTACGTTTTTCTAAGTTAAAAAAATATTTAGTATTTTTTTCTCCTTGTTCAATCCACTTTTGTCTACTTCTTACAAAGGCACCTTTGGCTTTGTCTAAATAAATTGTATCTAACTGTAGCTGTAAAGAAGTTAGTTGTTTGATTTCTTCATTTGTTAGATTTTTTTTTACTTGTTAATTTCAAAATTTCTTCTATTAAATTGTTTTCTTTTGCTTTTTTAACTTTAGCAATATTTTTCCCTATATTTATGGCTATATTTCTTATTTCAAATTTCATTAATTCCCAATTGTGACCAAATTTTTTAACAATACTTGCTTTTTTCCAATATTTTTGTATAATATCAATGGACTGCTTTTTAAAGCATTCATTTTCTAACAAGGTTTTATTTAATTTCCAATAGTTTGTTTTAGAAATGGTCGTTCTTTTTCCATCTTTGTTCATCTTAATCATTATAGCCTTATGATCTGTTAATACTGAAGTATCAATTTTCACTAATTCAACATCATCTTTATTTATTGCAGAGATTAACCAGAAATCAATACGTGACTGTTTTGTCAGGTCATTATTAGTCCAAGTATACATTCTTTGATCTGGGTAAGTATATCTCCAGATATCTAACAAATCCATTCTCGCACATACACTTTTTAATACAGAGGTTTTTTTATTTTTTTGGGGGGGCCAACGATCAACTTCTTCATCCATAACAGTATTAAAATCCCCACCCCAAATAATTGTTGCATAAGGATATTTAGAACTTATTTGATTAATTTTACTCTCAATTGTTGTAAACAAGTGATTATTATTTTGTTTATTATTTGTGGCATAAACATTTACTATAATAAATTGGGAAAGATCTATACTAACATGTAAAATTAACCATCTTCCTTCCGTATCTATTTGCTTACCGAGAACTTGACCTTTAAATTGACCTTTTAATACGAGTACCCCAGCTGAATGGTTAGTACCAAATGAAAACCAAACATCATTCCCCCACTGACTCCTCCAAAAGTTTACATCTGCTTCACAAGCATGAGACTCCTGAATAAAATAAAAATTTGCACCTTTACTCTGACAAAATAAAAATAAAGATTTCCTCTTCAACAGGTTTCTTATACCTCTGGCATTAATCGAAAAAATTGAAATTGACATGAACAATAACCGATTGCAATTAACAAATTAACGTATGCTGAGTGCTCTTAACAAGAACATAAAGTGTCACCCACTGAAGCTACATGTTGCATTTATCATCAACAATAAGTGCATTAACCCATCTTCTCTTAATTTCAGTAGTAATTCAAGAAGTCATGTAAAGTAAATGAACAGCCAATATCTCAAGTCTCTGACTATACTTTTGATGACATTTGAAGTCACTAAATGATCAGCCTTTGATTTCTTTTCCATTTACAAATGCTTTGTTACCTACTAAATAAGCCTTCTCCCCATTTTTCCTTGCCTGTTCAACAATCGGCCACAGACGAGCACGCGTTGCCCTGTCATCAGCTGTTAGGTCTTCTTTCACCTGAAGATTCGTGCTTTTGAGAAACTCGTTGTTCTTGGCGCCCTTCCAGAAAGTGTCTCTAGCTGATCTAGACATAAATCTGACGATCACAGGTCTTGGAAACTTGTTTTTTCCTCCGCTGTCTATTCTTCCAATACGATGAGCCACGTCTACTGCTACTCTGACTTCTTCTCCATCGCTGCCTGGAATTACTGCACGGCAAATTGTTTCCACTTTTGCTTTGACGTTTTCCTCCCGCTCTTCCTTCATTCCATAGATCCGAAGATTGTACCGGCGGCTATATCGATCCGTATCGTTTACTTTTTGCTCCATTTCACTGACTTTCTTTTGCATTTCTTCCACTCGTATCTTCATTGTAGCGTTTTCTTTTTTCAGATCGACTACTTCTTGATGACAGAATTCCAGCGATTTTTTAAGACCCTCGATTTGCATCGTATTGTGTTTCACAGCTTCATCAGTAATATCTGCTCTTTCGTTGATTTTGGCAGAAATAACACGGATTATATTGTCCTGTATTTCAGTCAGAGAAGGATCAGAATTCACTTGTATCTGTTCTTTGCGTGCTTTCTTTGAGAGTTTTTTGTCCGGTGTGTTGGGACTAGAATCACACATCCCATTACCATCCTTATACGCTTTACAGGAGTATGAGTGTGTGTCTTGGATAACTCTCTTATCTTTGACAGTATTTACCTCCATTTCTTCCGTGTTACACAGTTCACTCGTTGAGTTTGTCTCCATGTTAATATTGAGTTCCGAAATCTGCACTTAACAACAAAAACAGGTTCGTAAAATCCTATTTGTAAACTATATACATGCGGTAACCAAATATTATGGCAACTGTATTACATAATCTTTTCTAACTGTGTGTGACAAAACTTAGGACGTTCTTCAAAAGCACAACACATCCGCTCTCTCCGCCATCTTGGCTTCCACCAGGAGCAGTGTTTTGCAGAAAAGAAGCCAGTGTCATGACAAATCAATTCCTCCCCTATAGGAATCAGGTCCGCTTTTCCTGTTGGTTCACTGAAGTTATAATGGGTAAATCATAGCACTTGATTTAAAATCCTGTGAAATTTATGTTATTTATATTATATTCAGTTATATTACTATTATAAAATATAATATAATAATAATATTTATATTATATTATATTATTATTATATTAAATTCGAAAAGCACTGTAATGACCACTAATGTTTTTTAAATTATGTATTTCATTGGCAAGGTTCAAAGACTGCACTTCATATGGTACTCAATGTTACACTGATAAATGTTTAGCTTTAAATAATAAGAAATAACATCCGATGAGGCGTTAACCACAGAGTCCTATAAGCGAACTCAGGAGCGACAGATAAAGGGGATACCGACAGAGATAGCAGATTCCAGGCTGGAGTCAATTTAGAATCACATGAAAAATATCGCCCTCTTGTAGACATTTTATAAGAAATGTGCAGCAAAATAATGTCAGGTTCTGCAGAAATGTAGCTGAAAAAAAATTTTTTTACAAGGGTTTTTTTTTTCCTGGTAGATTGAGGAAATTTCTGTAATTTAATGTCTGTTATTGTATGGTAAATGTCTGTAATTGAACGGCTGTTATTTTACATTTATTTTACATAAAATAACGGACGTTAAATAAAAAAAACATAAAATAACAGACTTTTTATACAATGTAGAATCACGTAAAAGAATGAGCATGGTTTGTAATAGATGGAAGTCTGTTGTGAGATCAGTACAGTAACCTGAACTATGTGGTTTGTGTCACTTGAGACCATTCAATGATAGTTTCTATTTTTTTGTTTCATGATTCATTGTCATTACATAAAAACAAAATGGTTTGTGGCTAAAGAACAACACCAGGGTGAGCAAAAGATGCCTAATTTTGATGTGTTCAGTTTTGCTGAACTATTCTTTAAAGAAAAAAATAAGACAGACTAAATTAACAATTACTAAGTGAGAAAACAGATTTGCTCATCATGCTTTAATACAGACTGTTTGAGAAGAGTAAATGTTGAAATTAAAGGTAATTATCGTTTACGTTTTTGTTCAAAATGACATTACAATGGACATTATATTTGTGAGTCTGGATCAGAAAACCAGTAATAAGTTATCATTTCCAAAAATGGATATTTTTTGCATCTTCTGAAAGCTGAAGAAATAAGCTTTTAACTGTTGCAATGTTTATAATAGGACAATATTTCAGTAACAGTTAGGAAACTGATACTGTAAATGAGGGTTCAAAAAACCTCAATATTGAAAAAAAAATCGGCTTAAAAGTTATCCAATTTAAGAAATTAAAGTACAGTTTTTTATTTATATTATCAGTATGTTAGTTGAAGGATATTTATAAGCTTGTGTGCTACAAAACAGTGACAAAATTTGTGTTTCGAAGATCATGGTTCATACACATTTTTACTACTAAAATTACATGACTTTTCCAAGACTTCTCCAGACCTTTCAAGTA